GAACCAAGAAGCAAGGAAGAAAAGAAACAAAAATGCGGTGAGAGAGAGGAGATACTGATCCATCTAAAACACCGAAAAGGAGAATGGGTCAGTTCTCAAAAACTCCTATAGAAAAAACCTGGAAAAGTAGGGCCCGAGGTCTTTCCCAACAAACATAAAGTGCAAGATCGCGTTAATTTTCTCAAACCCCAAAGACATAGGATTGATCAAGTCCACCAAATGCTTTCCCAAATAAAGCTTGCAAATCTTCCCTAAATCCCACAGATGATATCAAAATCTTCCAACTTCCGAATTAATCCATAACCTCACATATCAAATAAGCATAAAAATCTTCCCACAAAATCAAATAAATGCTCACGACCAGGGATCACTACAAAGAGATGAACAGCAGGTAGGACTCACGGCTGAGACAACCCGAGACACAGAAGAAGAGGAAGCTCGCGGCTGAAGCAAACCCAAATCACTTCTCTACAAGTTTTGATATACATAGAAGAGTACAAAACATCACTAATCTTTCAAAGTAACAATTTTGAAGTTTGATCCACCTACAAACGCTCAAATGACTTAAACTCAACAGGAAGGGGGGAAGTTAAACTCAAGAAACTCCAATGGGTCTCACGGGTAGGATTATGAATCAAAGCCAGTAAAACCACCTCCAAACCGCCTCTCGGGTAAGGGATGAACAAAGCAATACAGCCCCCCAACTAAAGCCAAACCGAGCCTAGCAGAGGCCAAACAAAACAAGCACAGCCCCTAACTAAAACCAAACTGAGCCCAGCAAAGGCCAAACAAAGCAAACACAACCCCCAACTAAAGCCAAACCGAGCCCAGCAGAGACCAAACAAAACAAACACTGATACAAATTCAAGTTTTAATAGAAATTAAAATCTCAACCACTTCTAAACAAATCGAAAATCAGTAAGAGCCCAAAGTGAGCTTCTTAAAGCTAGCAAAGAAAACTTCAACACCTCAACAAAAGGTCAACATCTCATGCTTTTGCAATGAAAACCGAGCACCAACAAAAACCCGAAGCCGAGCCATTCAAGGCCCAAAACCGAGCCCAACAATATCAAACTCCATGCTTCCAAAAAAAAAAAAATAGGCTTCTAGCCATTTCAAACCAAAACCGAGCCTCCAAACCAAGCCAAAACCGAGCCAAGTGAGGGTCAGAAATCAAGCTGCAACTAAGACCTCCAATACCTCCAATATTAAGCCACAATGAAAGTAAGTTAGAGCAATGTCCTCATGCCTTTAAAACCTCTCAAAACAGAATTACTACTGCTCGTAAAGTGAACATCTTGAAATACATGAAAGTAAAACATGTTGAATATCTCAAAATACAAGAAAACAAACGTCACTAGCATGCCGTATCATCCACTGAGCCGAGCAAGAGAGGCTCGACAGAGAGAAAAACAGTGAGTAAGCAAGGCATTGAGGAAGGGAAGGGGAGAAGTAAATATATATCTCATAGCCCCTTAAATGTCATTCCCATATAACAGATGTATAAATAAGGAGTAAGAATATATTTAGAAATGAGGCAAGCAATAATCTCCCTATTCTAGCATGCCTGCAAGAGGAGTAAAATTGTTCTAAAGCCGTGCTTTAAGTATCCAACAAATCGCTACCAACATAAATA